CCAAGACTTCCCGGTCAATCCAGGCCGGGCCCCTCTCTCTATTCTGAGATTGCACGGCCATCACTGCTGGAGAGCTCTGCATCGTTGCCAGTGCTGCTGAACTCGCCACGATGTCCAGACAGGAAATGAGATTCAAACTGCCCAGACAGGAAAAGGAATTCAAATTCAAATTTTCCCGGGACTTTTCCTGTGTGGCTGGTCAGAGCATCCGAGCGCGGACTGCTGTCCAGAGCGTCAACAGAGTGGTGCACTGTGGGATAGCTCCCGGAGCTATTAGCGTCGATTTCCATCCACACCTAGCCTAATTCGACATGGCCATGTCGAATTTAGCGCTACTCCCCTCGTCGGGGAGGAGTACAGAAGTCGAATTAAAGAGACCTCTATGTCGAACTAAATAGCTTCGCGGTGTGGACGGGTGCAGGGTTAATTCGATGTAATGGCGCTAACTTCGACATAAACGCCTAGTGTAGACCAGGCCTTAGTTCATGTCACTTTCATGGCTGAGGCTGCTGCAGCACCACAACTTGGGGCATTGATAACTTTGGTTGCACCAAAAGTCCTGTGATTTTGGAAATCACCGGCAACCCAGAGAACCTAAGAAACATGGGCGGTGAGCAAAGCTTCCCCTGGAAGAGGCTAGCTCCCTGTCCCACCCCTTCTGCTTGTGGCCCCGCCTCTTCTGCCTGTGACCCCACCCACACTCCACCCCAGGCCCCGTCCCCTCCTCCACTTCTGCTTGGCCCCCTCCCCGTTTGGCCCCCCCGTCGCTGCCACTTGCCACGTTCCCCCTTCCCCACCCAGTAAGGTCCCCACTGCTCGCCGCATCCCTCCTCTACTTCACACCTCCTTCCCCCACCGCCCACAGGGACGCGGCGAGTGTCAGGCAGGGGGACCTCACGGGGGGTGGTGGAAGAGAGGAGGGATGCGGGGCGGTGTGGGCCTCGCAGGGGAGGAGCAGGGAGCAGAGTGGAGGAGAGGAAGGACTCAGCCAGGCAGTGGCGGGCGGTGGGGGCCTCGGGGAAGGGGCGGAGCAGGGACGGAAAGAGGCAGAGAGCAGGCGGGGCCACCACAGCATAGCCTCCCCATGCCTATTATACCCACTGTCTAGTCTAAGAAATCTCTGAAAAGCTAAGTCTCAGGCCAAAAATTTGAGATTAAGTAGGTGTACATCTAGTTTGTCTCTCCATCTGCCTTACAGAATTGGACCAATCTATTCCCATATCAGAAATGTTTGTAGGGTTAGGACTTCAGATCTTAGGACACTGTCTCCATCCTTCTCTTGACCCAAGAAAGCAAGAGACTGGGACTAGGATTTGAATCAGAAACCCTACACCTATGTCCTGGAGGCTGCTGGATTTATGTGTATGTGTGTTTTTATGAAACTGATATTTGATCTGGTCTTGTCATGGATGTTTAATGCAGTATGAGTACAAATTAGGTGGCAAACAACACTTGCTTATCTAATAATTATTCCTTTCCAGAGAAGTACAGGTGTGGGTTTGTCAACAGGTCCAGCTAGGTTTTGGCTTTCCTATAGACTTCCCATTGAGAGCTGCAAACACTATGAACATGAATGACAGAGAACAGCCTTGTCAAAACAAAGTATTCATAGGAACATAACAAACAGAGAAGAAAAGGATTAAAACAACAACAGGCCTAGACACTTAGGGGTAGGTTCATAGGAGGGACTTAGGCATTGTAGCAAGCAGCTTTGCAATGCCTAATTTTTAGATACCATGTGGAATTCACAGCTTGAGTTAGAGGCCCAGGCTTCTTATATAATCAATGGGGATAGTTAGGTAGGGACAGTTCTAAGGGCTGGTGAGCAGGGTGGTCATCCTGGATGCCAGCTTCCAGGGCGCACCATATTGCTTTGTTGCTCAGCTTTTTTTTGCTCTGCTCTGATTGGCTGGCTTTCCCCCTTGGACTGCTCAGCTAGGGGAGCGGGGAGACAGGGTGCTCTCAAAAACATTTCACACTGGCTGGCAACATGGATAGGACTGCTCCTGGAGCTAAGCACGTAAGAGATGGATTCACAAAAGCCAGCAAGTTGAGTGGGTAGCTGCCAAATATAGCCAGGTGGAAATGTAAAGCAGGGTGTATGTGGCCTAAGCTCTGCCCACTCAAAAAGACTTAGGCACTTAACTCCAGACTAGGGTTACCATTCGTCCGGATTTACCCGGACATGTCCTCCTTTTGTGTGCTAAA